AGCTGTAAATCGCATTTCCATGCACAAGGTGGTACTTGTAATTGTTTTCCTCAAGAGGCGAGAATAAAACCTTAAATCAGTTCCTGGAATGTCTGTTCCCATTACCCTTGTCTGATCTTTTTTTTTTCCTTTAAAGTGACCATTGGGGGCTGGGGATTTAGCTCAGCGGCAAAGTGCCTGCCTGGCAAGCACAAGGTTGTGAGTTCGGTTCCCGGTACCGGAGAAAAACCAAAAAAATAAAAAAAAATAAAGTGACCATTGGTTTTCTAGTTTTCGTTTGCTTCCTAGAGTTTTGATTTCCCAGAAAGTCTGAATAAATAGGTGCACTGGCTCAAGAATCGCTTTGCTCCTGACTTCGGTACAGCACTGGATGTGGAAGCACTTCTGTTTTTGACACCTCAGAATGGTTCCAAGTGCTATCAAAGCACTGCAAGGGAACTGGGCTCTGGAGCCAGGGAGCTATCCAGGCCTTTTCCCGGCAGTCCCGGGGGCGCTCACCAGCTGTGGGATCCCTCAGTAGGATGCAGGGCAAACTGCAATTGGAATTATTTTTGCTAATCTCTGGCTGAAATGTAGCATTTCCTTAATCGTGAATGTAAACAGACCACAGCAGAATTAGCAGTACTTGCAGGTTGGTCATAGTTTAAGTCTTGTTATTTGATATGTAAGAAATATATGTAATACTATATCCCAAATTTGATTTTTAGTCGTTGTACTTCTTATATGTCAGTGTAATTGGTTTCCTTTGTAGTTCCTTTGTATTTTATGGCATTTTGAGAGGGGTCTATAGCCTTTGCCCGACTGCTGATGGGGCCTGTGGCGGAGAAATGGTAAGAAGCACTGTTCTGGACTCTGCCACTTTCCAGGCCTTGGCATTTGTCTTGTTGCCAGATGGATCCCAAGGTCAGCGCCTGGCACTGACCCTCTCCCCATCAGCATGTTTTAAATGAACCACAGAAAAGAGATTGGAGGTTTTCGGTTCAGCATTTGTTGACTGACTTGACTCCTTACTGAGAGAAACGTTCAGTGAGCTGCTTACCATCTCTTTGATTCACTTTTTTAACCAACGTTTGTAGAGATCTGCCGTGTGCCGGGACTTAAAGCAAGACAGAAAATATGCAAATGGGTGTTGTATAACCAGCAGGATAATTTCAGATGAAGGTCTGTGCTTTAGAGCGACCCAGCAGGGTTTGATGGGGAGCAGGATGGCAGGAGTGACAACCTGGAAGGGTGGGAGGGGTAGGGACAGAGTTGCTAGCAGGACCTGTAAGCCGGGATGGAGCTGGGGTGGGGTGCATGGAGGGACAGTTACTGAGGGCTTTCTGGGGGAAGGCGAAGAGTTCCCCGTGTGATTTACATTTTAACAGGATGCTTCTCCAGTAGTCCAGGCAAGGGACAGCACTGCGGCTGGGGACTAAAGTGGTAGCATGGTAGTCCCCACTGGTCTCATAGGTGGCAGTGACATTAGTGCACTTAGCACAGGGCCAGGCACCTGGCTAAACTCAGTCAGCCTCATTCATTAATCCCGGAATTCCTCTAACTCAGCCTGGGACGGGTTGTTAGATTCAGCAAATACACATTAAATCGGACCATGTCCCTAAGCAGAAACCGTACAGCACTTCCCACGCATTCGCAGTAAATGGACAAGGCCAGGTACATCGTCTCCACCTCACTGACCGGCTCCTCGGTTTGCCCTGCTGGGTGTGTCCCGGTTCAGGGGCCTCTGCTAGTCACCTGCGCCCTTGGGGCCTTCGCTGCCTGTCCCGTTCTACCAGGCAAGCACCCCTGCTCCCTGCCACATGGTGTGTGCCCTCACTTTCTGTGATCCCACTGAGATTTCCCTCCTCACTAAGGCCCTCCTTGTGCCTTTTGTTTAAAATTATGATTCCATCATCCGCCGAATTCCTCCTGCCTCTTTCCTGCTTTAGTTTTCTCAGTTACTGCCTGCTGCCACACTGTAAAATCTGTGTGTGTGCATGCCACGCACACACCGTGACTAACAGCATGCTGCTGTATCCCCAGCTCTAGAGCAGTCGGGGCTTGTGGTAATGACACACAGTTGTTAATCAGAAGATGATCATGCTGCTCTGTGTAATCCCGAGAACCTCCTCCTCCCTGCTCCCAAGGGCTTGAAAAGCAGTGCTCCATAGCTGTACTGGTGGTACAAGACTGTGATCCAGGCACTCTTGGAGGCTGAGGCAGGAGAACCTCAAGTTCATGCCCAGCCAGAGCAACTTAATGATTTAGACTCTTTCTCAAAATTAAAAAAGGATGGTGGGTTTGGCTCGGTGTGAAGGCCCTAGGTTTACTCCCCAGTAACGCACGCACACACGCGCACACACAAACAGAGCTACCAGGAAGCATAGTGCCAGAGGAGCAGAAAGAAGGAGCATAGGTGAAACAGCAGGCAGTGAAGCTTTTAGGTCTGCATTTTGAGGCTTGAACTAGGTCTTTAAAAACAAGCAAGAGATGTGACTTGCTCTGAAAAGAGAGAAATGTTTCCTATAGCGGGTGGGAAATTAGGAAAGGAAAACAGAATGTGGGAACATAAACCAGAACTATTTGACTTTGAATCAGAAACACCAGGACACTCACTAATATGGGCGGCAAGAAGAGGCCTAACAACTTGCACAAGACTTTTTAGGATTGATCTAACTTGGTTATAGGTAGTCACAAAGGCAGGTCCAGCTAAGCCGAGGCTGTGTGCGTCAGAGTGCCGCCAGGTAACTTGAACTCGAGTCACTGGAGGCATGGGTGCAGCCAAATGTTGCCATTTACTGTGTGACCTTTAATAAGTAATTTAATCTCTCTGGGCCTTAGTTTCCTCATCTGCCACATGAAGATAACAGAAACATGTTGTGAAGATGAAATTCAGTAATCTTCACTGTGGGATCCACTCCACATCACTTATGCACAATAGACTTCTCTACCTAGTCAACAGGGACTTTTCATTTAAACTTAATCAAATTAATACGCATGTTCTTTTAAAAACGCTTTATTTATTTTTACTGTGTGAAAACATACATGGTGAAAAACCCTGTGAACTTGTTTTGAGAGTACAGTCCAAGGGCTTCAAGTTCATTCACATTGTCACACCCCCACCATGACCCCCTCCCTCTCCCAAACTTCTTTTGCCAGATGGATGACATCCATCGTGACCTCTTGTCGCCCTGCTTAAGTAGTTCCCCGCTAACACCCCTGTCCGCAAGGCCCTGTGTCTCTGCCCCTCCGGCCTCCCTCCCCCGTGGCCAGGCCCCCCAGCCACATGGGCCTTCAGTGTTCTTGAACATCACCAGTGCGCCTCTGCCATCATCCCCGAGCAGAAAGGTCTTACCCCACAAATCCGCAAGGATCCCCCTGCAGCCAAGTGTCCTCTAACAGCTGTCCAGAACAGCCTCTGCACCTCCCCGTGCTCCCACCCCACCTTATGCTAGGTGTGGCAGGCCTCTTCCTTGGCTTCCTGAGTCTCCATGGACGGTAAATGCCATCAAGACAGGGATCTGGGCCGCTCCCTGCTGAATTCCCAGCCCGGAGAACGTTGCTCAGCACCTCCCAAGTGCCCCGTAAATACTGGCAAGAAAAGGGAGGCAGCAAAGCAGCCAGGAGGGAGCCTGCTCCTCAGAAGCTCACCCTCCCCTTTCCTTCTGACCTGCTGTGGCTCAGTTCTAGAAAATGTCTTAAGGAGGACGTAGAATGTGACAGAAGACTGGCAGCCAGGATGCTGGCAGACCCTGGGGCATGAACTTTGGAGAGAAGTAGGCTGCTAGGCCTACAGAAGAGCGTGACCCTCTCCACTGGGTTTCAGAACTTTGTGGAATTAAGCTTTATCCCACCCCATGTGACCAGAGAGGGCAGATCCTGCACTAGAATTTGCTGAAAGGAGTGAGGAGAACAAAGGGTGTTGCCATGGATGATCAGATTAGATCAGGTTTGTCACACGGGGTTTGTGGGTGTGGTCTGGGGAGTTGTGAGTTCTCTTACAAGCAGATACTGGCCTCGCTGGAGGAGCTGCTGAACTGATAGTTAATCCTCTTTTGGCTCCAGGTTGAACTCCACAGAGGAAAGAGGAAAGAAGGAGGGGTTTAATACTGGTGCATGAAAGACCAAGGAAGGCCGGGTGATTTGGTACCCGCTAGTCAGAAAGGGGTTGAATTCATTCACATAGAGGAAAAATGCAAGCTAATCCCCAAATCCAGAATGCTCCAGTATCAAAAACTTTTTGCATACTGACATGCCCAAGTACAAAGGTATAGGTAAGTGGACCTCAAAAGAACAGGTGAGGTCCTTGGGTATTACCAGTGACTTCATTTTAACAGGTCCGGTTCTTCCATGTTAAATGAACAACGCTAATTTCATTTTATTGGTTTTGTGGTTGTATTTATATTTAGTTTGTAAATATGTGTCGCAAAATAGCCTCAATAGTTGTCTCAGAAATACGAGGAGTGCCTATGTATGGTTAGTAATATATCTATTATTACAGTATTTGTCATTATATTTAGGTTAGCATAATACAGGAAAACACTGGAGCATAAAACCTTTGTTTCTCCTAGCTCTGTGTCTGTGATTGTGCAAATCTTGTGCAATAGTTGTGTGGTTATTACATCAGTATTGGCTCAAGACTCAGACATTTTCACAGATTTAGCTTATATTAGCACAGTCTGGATTCTCCTTGTAAGACTCTATTGCCTGTTTTTGGAACTTGAGCCCAATTCTATTCCTAGAGATAAGAGAGCTCACCACCTGACCCTCAGACTACCTTAGTAAGCTCACTTGTGTTCTTAGTAATCTCAGACAGGCCTCTTTTTTCTACTGGCCAACTGGTGCTATCATTAGCAAGAAAATTTTAAACATCTGGACACCTGAAGGGTTCAAGTTCTTTTTAAAAGCTAAACTATACTTTGGGCTGAGGGTGGGAACAGAGGAACTAAAAAGAATGTTCCTGTGTGGGAGCTCAGCACTGTTGTGCCTTAGTGATTGCCTAACTCCCTTTCCCTTTGCAGGTACTTTTCTCACTTCTATATCATCTCTGTGCTGTGGAATGGCTTCCTGCTTTGGTGCCTTACTCAATCTGTGTTCCTGGGAATGCCCTTTCCAAACTGGCTTCATGGTCTGCTCAGAACTCTTGGGGCAGCACAGTCCCGAGGTAAGACTCCGCTGGCCCCTGCAGCACTGCAGCTTGGCCTCTGGCTCCTGTCTGCTGGGGGTGTGTGCCCAAGCCTTGCCTCTCTCAGGAACCACCCGCTCAGGGCCTCTGAGGTCAGGTCAGAGGAGGTGTGCAGCATCCATCACTGGATGGCACAGCGATGTCCTTAAGTCCTCACCGAGACTACGGCTGAGCCCAGAGTTGGCGCTGCAGTCCGACTTCCCCCAGCACAGAGCAGCGGCCAGGACTGGCTGTTCTCCCACAGATATATTTCGTACAGTACTGCTGATAAATTTATGGAGAAATCTGTACACATGAGGAGGAAGCTTTTAGGCTCCCTCAGGTTTGCCTTGCAACATTTATCATTTATACAGTGTGGAGAACCACCCGGCAACTCTCCTTAAAAGAGGATCAGCTGGCTCTGTTTTGGCTGAGCCTGACCCTATTTCCATGTATTGATATGTACTGAGCTGGCTGGGACTTTTCCTTATCCCTTCAACTGACTTTAAGCAGTGCATACTGGTCTAGCCCAGGTGTAGATGGTAATCTTTGGAGATGGCAGGCATGTTTCCCCAACCCCCTGTTGCTCCCTCGAGTGAGCTGGAATGAGGCAGGATGTATGAGCCAGTGCTCCACACTGTAGGCTGGGATCAAGCCTCAGGAATAGAGGCTATGACTTTCTGGGGCTTCAAAGATTACACATCAGAGCCGAAGCACCAACCTCAAAACACTAGATACTATCTCAGTTGTGTTATGCAGATTATTATTCTTGTATGTCCTCGCTACATATGGCAGAGGTGATTTCAGGCCTCCTGCCTAGCCCAGCTCATGGCACTCACGTATTTCCCACCACTGTCATAGTCACTCATCCTCAAGCCACTTCCTTCTTCATGAATGAATAAAATCTGGGTTGGGTCCTGGGTATAGCCCTTGGTTCCAGATAGCCATCATCATGGCTGGACTTAGGACCCCCTATATGCCTTAGTGTCTTTATTCTCACCATGGGTTGCACTGGATGTGGTAGATTGGAACTGACTTGCTAAAATTGCAATAACTTTTCATGGGATTACAAATGTAAACTTTCTGGGCCGTGAGGCAGACTGGGAAGGGCTCTCTATAATACAGTCCAGCCAAAATCATGTCTCAGAACTCACAGAAATTTGATTTTAAATTCACTTTTGGTAAACATGTGAAAAGGTTTGTTATGCTATTGATACAGCAAGCAAGTTCAGTGAGAAAGACACTCACAAGAAAACTGAGAAGGCAGGAACAAACAAAGCTTTATTAAGTCGGCTGACAGACAGTCTCTAACCAGGAGCCAGAGAAGATATCTGCCCTGATCTGGGTCTCACCTTCGGTTTAAGTACATTTTAGGTTTCCATAGTAACCATTACCTCATTTTTGGGAGTCTCAGAAGAATGTCATGGGGCTGGGGATTTAGCTCATTGGCACAGTGCCTGCCTGGCAAGCGCGAGGTTGCGATATGGGGGGGGGGGGATGTCACGATTATCACAAAGTTTGCTTCTCCCAGAAGTTGTTGGGCAGCCAGATTTCAGATGACTATTGCAGTTGAACTTGCAGCCTACTTCCCAATCTGTCCTGTTTGTCTTGTTCTTGTTTTATGACTCTGCTCTCCTTTAAGTGGGTTGATAACTAACCAAGGGGAGAGGGTGAAGAATAGAGTCGACTACAGCTTAAGTGAACTTAAGTGACTTCTCTTAATACGGAGTTAAGAAAATGGAGTCTCTCTTGCCCTATCACTATGACACTTTGGTTATATACTATTACCTGGGCCACTACATGGTCTTTAAACATGCCACATGCAGCAGCAGATAAGGGATATGCAGAACAGTTTTTAAATACAGAACTAGCATACCTGTGGCTTCAGCCAAACAGGAGGCTGAGGCAGGAGAGTCACTTGAGCCTAGGTATTGAGGACCAGCTTTGACAACAAAGCAAGACCTCATCTCAAATAAATAAATAAATAGAAGTTGAAGGTGAAAGCCATGCTGTGGCCTTACAGAGGGTAAGGGACACAATTAGAAACAAATTGTTCTCTGTCCTTGTCTCTATCCTTTGCTCCAGCAGCCAAACCACCATCTCCCTAGGAACAGTCCTTTTTTGTACCACAAAGAACTTGTTGCAAAAAAGAGACTCAGAAGAAAAATCCACATATGAAACTAGGGGATGTGATGGGGGATGATTAAAGTATGTTATGTGCATGTACAAACTTGCCAAGATGAAACCCATTCATCTTCAGAGAGAGAGACACACACACACAGAGGAGTGGGGAGAGAAAGAGTGGGAGAATGAACAAACCCATGCGCACCTATTACGGGACGCGCCACAGCGAATCCCGCCTTGCTCATTAAAACGTCAACACCTGATGTTTGCTGGGGGAGCACCTGGGTTTAGTATTTGGAGGGTTTATTTTCATCTGTTCCTAAAGAGTTAACTAGATTTAATTTATCTAAAAAGTAAAAAGAGCAAAGCTAATCAGTGTCGACAGGAGTCAGGACAGGGGTGGGTGGGTAGCGCTGCTGAGGTGGAAGGAGTGTGTAGTGCCCGGGTAGAAATGTTCAGGGTTCCGGTCCTGTTCTTTCTTGATCAGGATGCTCGTTGTTCAGGTGGGGTGCATTGCTTTAGCCTTATGATGTGTGTGCTACTCTTTTTTTTTGGTTTTTGGTTTTTTCCAGTACCAGGAATCAAACTCATGACCTTGCGCTTGCCAGGCAGGCACTGTGCTGCTGAGCTAAATCCCCAGCCCCTGTGTTACTCATTTTAAAAAAAGAAAAACTAGATTTTATGTTATTTTAAAGGTAAGTTAGTCTTCAGAGCTCTGTGGGGACTGAGGGATGAGAGACAGGCCGGAGAGTAGATTTCAGGGCTCACTGTCACCCTGAAGAGTTTTGTTCTTGTTTTTGGTGTTCCTTGGGCTTGAACTCAGGGCCACATGCATGCTGCACCACTGAGCTATATCCTAAGCCCTTATCTTTTTTGTTTCAGTATGGGAAGAAATTCATAACTATTTGTATTCCTGTCTGCCTCTGTGGGTGCCTGGGGATTGCACCCGGTAGGACTGTTCCGAGGCCAGCTGGGAACTCCTCCTTTTGCATCTGGCTGTACCAGGAGCCGCACACTCGCAGACCATGGGTTCTGAGCACAGACCCCTTCTCCGTGGCATAGCCTGGAAGGCTGTCATGTGGTGCAGCCACATTCAGCAGCAGATAAGGGATTGCAGAACAGTTTTTAAATATGGCTGTCGTGTGTTTGCCCAGCCCCCTCACTAACTCACTGCATCATATGGAGACAAACTCTATCCTTGCTGCTAAAAAAAGAAAAGTGTTAGACTGGAAGATTTCTAAAGCCCTTTCATAACTAATCATATTTAGTACTTTGTTTTACAGTAAAGAGAAACAAAGCCTTGCTTTGACCCCAGAAGAGAGCTGAACAAGTGGTCTTCTGAATTGCAGGTGGTGAGCGGGCACTTTCTGCCTTCTTGGTACTCCTATTCCTGTGGCTTCACAGCTGGCGCAGACTCTTCGAGTGCTTCTACGTCAGCGTCTTCTCCAATGCCATGATCCACGTTGTGCAGTACTGTTTCGGCCTTGTCTACTATGTCCTGGTCGGTCTCACTGTGCTGAGCCAAGCGCCCATGGATGGCAGCCATGGTGAGCGGCCTCCGCCTCAGCGCTGGCTCTGCAGGCGCAGGCTGTGTGAGGCGCTCCGGAGGCGATGGATCCACACAGCACTCGGGAGCGCCAGCGTGGGCGTTGACCCAACCTCCTGTTCATTCCAGCTTCTTAGACTCCAGTAATGGATAAGAAAGTCAGCATGTCCAAGGGATATGTGTGTTAGCTGTGACTGCTGAAGCCTTGCGGGAGCCAGCGTACGTGAGCCATCGTGCCCTCGGTGAAGCTGGCAAAGGACAGGATGTTCACGAGGCTCAGCTTAAGGATGGTGAAACGGGACATGGGGTTCCCCTCGGGCAGTGCAGCTGGCGAAGCCATGTGGAGTTAGTCTGTGGCAAGGGAGGGAGTGTGGCCAAGAGCAGGAGAAAGGGGCAGCAAAGGAAGTGGCCTTGAGAAGCCGAGCCCTGCTGGGCTGCGCGGGGGAGGTTGGGAGGAACTGCAGTGCGGAGCAATCCTAAAATGGGAGGAGGGGGCTCCCGCTGAGTGGTCGTGATTGGAGGAGAGCGGAACCGCTTCACTGCCGTTAGCTGTTTTGTGATTGCTCCCCTACACCAAAGCTTTGCCTCGTGCAAGGGAGAGGACAGAGGCGGCGGGCAGTGGAGGCTCCTTAACGTGTCAAAGCTCTCTCCAGTCAGGAAGAGGGCAGCCAGACCTCTGTTTATGAGGAGATAAAGAAGTGGTTTATTGTTTTATTTAGGGCAGAGGGGGTCTAAGTGTCGTTTTTACAAAAACAATGTATATGTATTATGAAGAATTTAAGTCATTTTGGGTGGTTGAGTATTGGGTTAAATAACCCATAGTCATTGCAGGCTGATCAGGCCCACACTCTCCCAAGCCAGTGGACGGCGAAGGTTTAAATAAATGAGACAATTGAAATGATTTCAGGGCTCCAGGAGGGACTAACTCTCTTACAGCTTCATATTCTCTGAGTTTTGACCACAGCTTCTCTGGGTAGCCCTTATTTATTTGGTTTACAAACAAAGGAGGATGATATTCAAGAAAATGGGGGAATCTGGGCAGGACTTTCCCAAGTAATACATTATGTTAGTTTAGGAGAACTATGTTATCTCCAGGAAGGCCTTCACAGGAGTGAGAGGCCTGCAGCTGCAGTCTCCTTTAAGTTAATTGGGGTTGGAGCCAGACAGCTGTGGCCTTTTTTTTTTTTTTTTCTGGTACCAGGAATCGAACTCAGGACCTTGCACTTGCCAACCAGGCGCTTGTGCCTCTGAGCTATATCCCTGGCCCTGCTGTGGCCTTATCTTGTACTTTGAGTGTGTCACAGGCCAATACAGGCCTCAGGGTAACAGTGACTCACAGAGGGTTACTTACTATGAGTCCACTGTCCATCTTCAGACAAGGGGCCTAAGCTTCAGACAGCTCACAAGTAAACACGGAAAGCCGGTTGGTTAATAGTAAGTCCAGCTCAGAGCCACTTTGTAGCGGTCTCCAACAATTGAGTTTTTAGTGCTGAAGTTAACTTGACCTTTGCCTTCTTCAGCCCAGACGCTGTAGATCTTTCCTGACCACTCTCTGAGTCATAGGCTTCCCGATTCCTAATGATGCCCCATCAGTCCTTGTTATTGAGACGGAGTCTAAATATTCCCGACACTCAACTGAGTGAGCCTCCCTCCCTCCCCTCAGGTCTGCTTTTTGCATCAGACATTAGTGCTCCTTAGGGTTCCTTCTCCATCGCTGTAACACAGCCTCTTTGATTAGAGGAAAATTTAAGTTTTGGTTTTGAATTTTTTTCAGGGGTGGTGCTAAGACTCGAACCCAGAGCCTCACACATGCTAGGCAAATTCTGCCGCTGAGTTACATCTCCAGTCCCTGGAGGAAAGATTTTACAGCAGGGACTGTTGACCGTCTTGTTCAGCTCATGAATTACTTGCTGACCACAGCCGCTCAGGCAGCTCCCCTCCACCTGATTCCTCTGCACTTGCTCAAGTCAGTTTTTCCTCCCTCGTTTTTCAGCTGTGGCATCCGTGCATCCCACCGATATAAGCTGTGAGCTGTCATTCCTGGCTTTTCACCCAACGAGCGTTCCGGTGCTCTTCAGTAACCTACTAGCTTTCGGTCTGTCGGCTCTGTTAGGACTGCATGTTCCTTTAGGAGTTTCCTGGATCCTACTTTCTGCCTTCCCTCTCTTACAAATAGTCAAGGAAAGGCAGCCAAGGTGCCCACAAAAATGACTTTCTAAACATTCCTTTCTGGATCTGTTTTCTGTTTTACTTACTTGTTCTTTAGGAGGTCGTCTGGGGTCACTCGGCTCAGTCTGGGGAGAGTTCGATTCGGTAATTCATTGAGAGAGGACTCACTGGGGGTTTGCTGGCTGCAGGACCTAATAGAGATCACAAAGGCTTGGGGGTCCACTGACCCAGGCCTGCCTTACTGACTCTCTGAGCTCCAGTCTTCATCCGTAAGTAGGAGCACAGACGCGCTCCCCGGGTCCATGTGGAAGTGCAAAGAGGGCTGTAAACCAGAATGAGAGCTTCTCAAGATCCAGGATCCTGCCCAGCTTGCCGCCTTATTCTTTACACCTACAACAGGGCTAGGCTCAGCAGACACTCAGTAATGAATGAATAGATGTAGGACTATGCACCTGCCCTTCCCTGCATTATAATTCTGGTCTGAATCCTATAAACTCTCTCCTCATAGGGGACACCTCTCCATATAGAGTAAGGGACTTAGTAGTTAGTGACGTGAACTCCCAGGTGCTCCCTTGAACTTTCCGTACTGTAGTGACTTGCTCTTGAAGCTGATCAGATTTAAAACTATATTTTTCATATGTTGCTTATTTTAACTTAGAAAAAGGTAACCTTTTATTGAACACTAAAAAGACAGTAGCAGATTCTGTAGCATAGGTTTTAAGCAGAAATTGACAGGGGTGGACTCTGGTGGGTTCTCGCTAGTAATTAGCTATCCTCACTGACTCCCACCTGTAGGGTCCCCTAGGAAACAGAATGATCCTTGGTTCTCCTGCTTGAATTTACCTTTCAGGGGTTGCTGCTTGGCTGCAAAGCCCCAGGGTCTTTTCTGTTACCAATGGACAACTTTGTCTCTTCAGTCACGATAGATGAGGCCAGCTGCATCCTGCTAGTCATAGGGAGGCCTTCGGCGCCTTTCTGATGCCAGTGGCATGCTCTTCTTGTTCTCCTGTGGGCTGCCTTTTTCCCTCCTTCCTGGTAGCCAGAGGAGGAGCAAGAAGGGAATATGGGAGATGCTCTGCCAGAATAGGTTCTCTCTAAGCCAGAAAGAGAAATCATTGTTCATCTTGTGCTTTACATTTCTCTTCTTTGTGAGAAGCCCCTCTGTCTGCCTTTACCTGTGGGGACTTTCTTCACTGGTCAGTGCCAGACAGCTCTGCATTGTGTGTCCCAGACCTCCATACCTGGGTTCAGGGTGGTAGCTCAGAGAGAGATTTCTTTAGAAAGTGTTCTCCTGACAGTAAGATGGAAGGATTCTTAAAATGGGGCTTCGCAGTGGAAACCCAAGGCAGCCTCCTCACACCCAAGGGCAGATCATCCAAACTGGAGCCCAGCATTTGAAAGGAATGGTGCCTAAAGTATCTGAAGGAGGAACAGAAGGATGCCAATATAGACTGCTTTGCTGGCAGTCACCAAAGCTGTGCATGTCTGAGGGGAATATCTCCCTAGTCTAGAGGAAATTTTGTCTTAGTTACTTTTCTCACTGCTGAGACAAAATACCTGACATCCAGAGTTAAAGGGGAAAAGGTTTATTTATCCCCAGTTTGTACAGTCGGCTGACTCCATGGCCGGGTGGCGTGGCAGACAGGCATCACAGAGGAGAAACAGTTCATGGTGGGCTGAAGGTAGCAAAGCAAGAGAGGGACGAGACAAGCCTCTTTCTGTTCCTTCTATTGTATCCAGGCCAACAGAATTAGGGTGGTGCCAATCCAATGAGTGGATTGATTTAGCAATCACCTACCCTTAATCTTTGCACACGGAATCCTACCACTGCACCATGAATCAGTCAGACGCTCTAGATTCAGCCCTCTCTGACAAAGCCCCATTTATGACTGCTTGAGGCTTTGGAGAGACATCTAGGTACAAGCCGTAACAAAATTACACCAGGATAGTATGATTTTTTTTTAATTCCCCAAGCCTTTGAAATTTTGTAGAACTGGCTAATACGATAATTCTTATTTCCACAGTGTATGTAATAGGGAAAAATCCATTGATGCAAGCACGGTGGTTCCACATCCTTGGGATGATGATGTTTATCTGGTCATCTGTCCACCAGTATAAGTGCCACGTCATTCTCGGCAACCTCAGGAAAAATAAAGCAGGTAAGATTGCTTTTACAGCCTCTGCATGTGGTGGGTAAGCCTCAGAAGTTAGTTCTCTGTGTTCCTGTATTTTTTCCTTCCTGCCCTAGTTAGTTGACTAATCTATGTCAAATACTCATTTTTGGCAAGACACCTCTCTGCAGCCAGATCTTCCCATCTGTAAAATAAGAGCCATTCTCTGAAGAGCTCTCTGGCTCTACCCAGCCCTGACATCTGAGTCTGTGCTGTGCCCGCATTTGGGGACTGCACTGTATAGGTGTACTGATCCACCTATGAGAGCTCATATTCCTGCAGAGTTAGTATCACCCAGCCAAGCAAAACAACTTGGCCTTCTAGTTAGCTTATATTGACTTATCACAGGTAGTTTCTATTCAGCTATTTAAAATACTAAAAACAGAGAAGTGGTATTTAATATTTATCCAGCGCCTGTTGTGTGTGATGTCCTCTTGTAAATGCTACTACTTCCCAGTTCCCACACGAGATGAGTCTAATCTTCATTTTAGATGAGGAAAATGAGGCACTTCTCTGAAGTTACACAGCTAGTAAGTGGGAGAGCCGGCATTTGAACGCACGTTGCCTAACTCGAGTCTGAGCTCTTGTTAGTGGCTGGAGTAGAAAAGGCTGCTGGAGGCACTGGCTGACCGTGTGCCTGAACAGTGACAGTGTAACCTGAGCGTGTGACTTTCTGACACACACAGCTCATCAGTGGAAGTGTGACAGGGTGGTGGTTTGCATGCAGCTGTGTGAAACTCTTCTCAGAGCAAAATGATTCAGGGAGTAAATCGTGAGACTTTCCCATCAAGACTTCAAATGCTTACGTAGTTGTCTTTTACCCTTTCAGGAACTGTCATTCACTGCAACCACAGGATCCCTTTTGGAGACTGGTTTGAACATGTTTCTTCCCCTAATTACTTAGCGGAGCTGATGATCTACCTTTCCATGGCTGTCACTTTTGGCTTCCACAATGTAACTTGGTGGCTGGTGGTGACATATGTCTTCTTCAACCAGGCTCTTTCTGCCTTCCTCAACCACAGATTCTACCAAAGCAAATTCGTCTCCTACCCAAAGCACAGGAAAGCTTTCCTCCCTTTTTTGTTTTAAGATAACCTCAGTCATAAGGAACGCCAGCTAGATGACAGTGTAAAGTCGGAGACTGAAGTGCAATTTCTGCAGGACTGGCTGAAATTCTCTGTTCCACTTTTACAACAAAAAGAATTTCATCACGTACGCAGAACAAGGCCCCTCCAGAAGATGACTCTGCAGAACGCCTTCAAAAAAGAAATGCTTCTGGCAGACGTGTGGTTCACTGTCTGCTTTCTGCAATGCCTTATAAAGCCAGCCGAGTGACCACAAGTAGATAAGACTTCTCCAGACTGCCTCACCAGGACACTAAGTGCGAGTACAAACAGGCTCTCCCACAAACATACACCACGGAAGATACAAGATCACCTGGGATTGCTTGTTAGGGATAATGAGGGATCTAGCAGGAGCTCGATAAATACTTGTTACATTTCCCTAAAATCAAATTGGCCTTTGAAAATGACATTAAGCTGGGTGTGGTGGTGCACCCCTTTTATCCCAGCACTCAGGAGGCTGAGGCAGTAGGATTGGTACAAGTTCGAGGCCAGCCTGGGGTACAAAGTGAGTTCAAAGCCAGCCTGAACTGCATAGTGAGACCCTGCCTCAAAACGACCAAAAAAAAGAAAGAAAAAAAATAACAGTAATATGTAACTTTACACCAGTGGTATCAAGGAAAACAGGGTTTTTTTGAATTAGTGTATACTTTCCCATGCTACCCCATATTCCCCATACTTTCCTGTATTACCACATTATTATTCATACTTCCAGTAATGTAACAATTACAAGCCATTTCCACTCATCTTTACCAAAAGTCATAGTCTAATGGGAAATTTTGAAACCTCTTTAATTTTCTGTTGACATTCCTTTCAAGAGACTACTTCAAAAGTGAAAGCTTCAGAACATAAAATATTTTTATACTTACGCATAAAAATCCTTTTTTAATGCCCTGGATCAGTAGTTAAGCCTCATTCATCAGTAATTATTCAAATTGGAGTAATGTCTGCCGGCATGCGTTTCACCTATTAGAATGAAATTGAGGATATCGAAGAGTAAAGTTTACACTTAAAGTAGCTTAGTTAGGAACATACCCATGAGTACGTCAAAGGGAAATAAATGTATGAAAGAAAAACTAAAACTTGAAAAACAACACGGTAGCCCGAGCAACAGTAAAATCTGCACGTGCATATAGCGTATGATTTTCTGCCCTACTGGCTGAGGTACTACCTCCTTTTATGCAGATACCATATTATAGTCCGCTAAGTAGTAAAGTTTTGCACCTGTACCTTGCCTTGGGCAAAAGAACCCCAATTAACCAGACATGTCAAATGCAGTCTTGAGAATGTGTTCTCCCACCTGCATCCCTGGAGTTACAAGGGAGGCTGGTGAATGGAGATTCGTGTGTGTGCGTGCACACAATTTTTTTTGAGTGCTGGGGATGGAATCCACCGAGTTCCACCTCTAGCCCTTTAGATACAACTAAATGCATAGAAAAACATATCCTGAAGTTCTTACGTTAATTCTAATGTAGCATTTTCTCTCCCTTCGGTCAAATACAACTTAAGAGTACTCCATTGTTTGATCTGCTCAAATAACAAAATACTCATTTAATTAGAATTAGTCATCCTCAGGACGAGGACTCAGGAACAGAACTGTTTCTACTTGGAGAGCGTAGAGCATTTCGCAATTTGGTGTTCACTTTCACACAAATGGTGTGCACGATTTTAAATACATTGCTGAGGAGGAAACTTGCTTTAGCATGCAACTTTAAATCTTGGTTGGACCAAGTACTAACCAAGGCCAGTGTTCTGGATCTTACATTTTGAAGTGAAAGAATGAATGTTGTGGTTTAGATGAAAAAGTGTCCCCCAAAAGGCTATGTGTTAAGAGGTGGGGCATGGGGAGCTACTGCTCCCACCACTGCATTTGTCCATTCACAGCTGAAGGCGTTGTGAGGCGGTGGGGCGTGGGTGGAGGACAGGTCACTGGGGGAGTGACCTGGAAGGATGTATTCTTGCCCGAGACCCGTCCCCCTCACTAGCTCTGCCCTCTCTCCGTTGCTCATGGCTGTGAACAGCTGTTCCCTTCCATGCCATTCCGCCACGTTTCTGCCTTAAAGCCGGCTGACCATAGACTGAGAGCCTGAGCCAAAATAAACACTTCCTCCTCTGAATTGTGTGCGTCACATACTTTGCCACAGCAGTGGAACCGTAACCTAAGTCCCCGGTGAAGGACCCTATGGAGTTACAAAGCTTTCCAGTTTCCCTTTCGAGTCCCGGTTTCCTTACTGTGGCTTGTACGCTAATCTCTGTCTTTTCCCCAAAAACTGCATTTTTAGGTGATAGTAAAAGAGAAAATAGTGACGTCTTCAGAGGAGTTCAGAATGAAGCATCGTGGTCTGGGCTGAAGGCTTAATTGATGGGGCATGACTGGGAATTGTGCTGTGCTCATGAAAATAATCCCTGTGCCTCAAGGGAAAGCACCATAGAGATTTGCAAATTCTTCACAAAGATGATCCAGAGATAGCTTGGAGGTAGAGATTCTTGACTTTCCTGTTGGCCTAGTGGAATAGTGGAATAGCCCTAACCTTTCACTCTCAGCTACCATCTGTTTAGGGGAGCTGAACTAAACTACCTCAGAGCGGTATTTTTCTGGGTAACCACTGAGTACAGCAGGTGTTAAGGTGATTGTTTCAGCCCCCTGTTATCAGTCGTCCTGCACACTTGACACAGTGACCATGGGTCATTTTTGTTTGCATAAGGCTGTGTTCTGTATATTTTAATTCAATGAGTGCTTCTTGCTAGAATTCCCACCCCAAAAAAGCCTTTGCAGATATTTTTGTACACAGCTCAGTGGCTACTCAGTGTAAGGAAACTGAACATTTATGGAACTGATGGGCCCTGGAGACGTAAGAACCATTGATGACTCTTGTATCTCAAAATGAACTGGTAAGTTAAAGACTTCGAAGTAGTAAAAAACAGCAAATTATGTTCTTTTACTCCTTTAATATATCTAAGCCGTTTTTGCCTTTTCTTTTGCATTACCTGTCAGGAAAGAAATCTTCAGGTAGTTTTTATAACTTTCTTATTTTAGCTTAAACTATGATTTTTCTGATAAATGGGCCAAAAAGAATGGGGACAACAGTAATCCATACATAATGCACATGATACATACTTCATTCTTCTTTTTTTTCCATTTTCAAATAGCAAATCTCTTCTTAAAAGCCATATATTGGTTTGAAGCGAACCAAGTTTTTTTGTTTCTTTCTTTGGTTTTTCTCCGGTACCGGTAATCGAACTCACAACGTTGTGCTTGCCAGGCAAGCACTGTGCCGCTGAGCTAAATCCCCAGCCCCTGCAAAGCAAAATTTGATACTCCACATGAATATTGTATTATAGTTACTCCACACATAATTGAGAACGTGTAATATTGAATTTCTTCAAAAAGACAACACAAGCAGGATCTGACTTCAGGCAATCATGTCAATGATAGAGGCTACAAACATGAACTAGGGGCTGGAGATTTAGCTCAGTGGCACAGCGCCTGCCTGGCAAGCATAAGGTCGTGAGTTCAATTCCTGGTACCAGAGGAGACAAAAAAACCAAACAAACATGAACTAGGAGGGGAAAGAAGTGAGAGACTGCCTGTGGACAGAACAGGGAGCTTAGTGGTTAGCAGGTAAGTGATGCTCAAACAGTAAAATGTTCAAATTGGTAGCCTCAAATATATTTTGCTTGCTTTCTGACTACCAATACTATCTGTCCAGCTCATTGTCCTACTGCAGCTCCAACAACTTCTCAACCCCACCGGGACCTCCAGTCTATAGGTCTCTTCACATTTTCACTGCCCCTTACCACTCCTAAGTCTCCCTTCTCAGCCTTCCTGGCATAAGTTCTGAGAAAATCGTAGTTAGTCCTCGGTACTCAAGTCTCTTGCCTCCTACTTTGTGGCCAGAGCTGCAGCCCTGGTTAAATTCACCTTGCCCCCTGGAGGCTCTGGGGCTGTGAGCACAGAGGCGGCTTAGCTGGGCTCTTCTGCCTCAAGACTTAGAGCAGTCAAGGTGTGACCAGGGCTGTGAGCTCAGTCGTGCGTTCAGACTCACCCACCTGGCTGGTAGCGGGCCTCTGTTCTTAACGGGCAATTGAGGGCCTTAGTTCCTCATTGGTTGAGGGCCTCCCCAGTTCCCTGCCACATGGGCCTTTCAAGCCAAGTCTCACAGCGGTACCAGCTTCCATCAGAGAAAACCGAGGATGTCCAACAAGGGACGAAGGGAGACAATCTCTTCACAACCTCAACGTGGAAATCAGGTCCTGTCACTTTTGTCATAAGCTGTTTTGTTAGTCAAACCCACAGTCAAGCCAGGTGTGGTAGTATAATCGGAGCCCTAGGGAAGCAGAGGAATCATCGCAAGCTCAAGGCCAGTACATAGCAGTACATAGCAAGGCCCTGTCCGAAACCAAAACAAAACCCACACTCGACGATTACACAAGACCAGGAAATGTGGTTTACTGGGGACCATCTATGGCTGCATATCCCAGTTACCTCAGTAAGGTGACCCCTATTTAGAATTGCAACATTCCAGATACAGTGGAGCATGCCTGTAAACCCACCTATTTTGGGAAGCCAAGGCAAGAGAATCATAAGTTCAAGGCCACCTTTGAGCTTTACTTTTTGAAACCCTGTTGCAGAATTGTGTTGTGTTTTCTTTACAAAGAGTGCATGTAGCCAGGCATGATGGCACACACCCGTAGCCCCAGCACTTAGGGCTGAGGCAGGAGGAATGCCACAAGCTTGAGCCCAGCGTGAACTACACAGTGTGACCCTGCCTCAAAAACTCAAAAAGAAAAAAGTGCATGCAGTTTATGTTAATGTGTGTACAAAGCAATCATTCATTTGTATATTCATACTATCAAAAACCTGGGAACCATTCTGAGAAGTAGGAAATAGAATGAAATCAGTCAGAAGTGTTTAGGAGTCCATAAGCCATCCAAATCCTTTACCAGATTTTATAAGAAAAATGCAGCCTTCGTGGGAAATTGAAATAAGTATTAATACTAAAACCAGTTTTGTACGGCAGGAAAATAGAAGGGAGACTCATTAGACAAAGGAAGGGAACAAGGGGGAAGGAAGAGGTCGAGGGTAATGAGAAGATGAACATGGGGACCATCAAAATATGTGCCGAGGCGTAACATTTTGTAATTAATGGCACTCACAGTAAAAAAAAAAAAACGGGTAGCGGACAATGATTAGTCTTCCACTCAAAGAATGTATTGTTAATGTTTGTTCCATAAATTTACAAAAAAATAATCAGCACTTTGAGATTTCTTGCTTCCTGACCTGTAGACGGAGCTTCTATTATTTATTTATTTTTTTTTTTTAGTACCAGAAATTGCGCTTGCCAGGCAAGAGCTTGTGCCACTGAGGTATATCCCCAGTCCCTTGAGCTGCTATTAACTAAGTCTATGACTTTTTTTGATATGTAGAATGTGTAAACCTTTTGAGGGTTAAGAAAAAAAAGCCTGTGTTATAGGAACCATGTAATCTCGTGAATTGGAAGGAATTTAACTTGTTCATCTATAATGTGATCCCTCCTTTGAATCTGTCCTAATGGAATACAAGTATATAGTTAGTGTGAAATGTGGCCCGCGGTAAAGGATTATAAAGGATGGTTTCGGTGTATCAGGATTAATCATTGTCCCATCTCTTCCTCTCACCTAATTGTTGTAGCCAAATTATGCTTTCCTTCTTTTCCATCTCAAATTGCCTACAGGGTTTCTTTTCATGATTTTGTTTTTCAAGACGTGGAAACAAACTTTAGATCTCAGGATAATCATGCAACTAGGAATTAAAGCAATTGCAAAGAACAGGCAAAGAGAGAGGAATGGATTGTTCTCTTCCAGACTCTGTGGTCTATAATTCTGAGAACAAAGTCAGATGACATTTTTGTTAGGTTCTTTCTGTGAAGCCATCTTAAAAACTTCCAGATTAAAATAAAGAAAAAAAGACAGAAGGAAAAAAGAAAGCTTCCAGATTTGGAAGGAGAAAAAAAAAATCAACACCCCTGATTTGTCTAACATTTACTGTACTATAAATTTACCTAAATCTGTTTGAGCCTGTGATTTATAATGTCAGTAATAACTTTGGTGATCTTATATCCTCTAACTTTACTGCACAACTCCTTCTGTCCTAACATTCCAGAGCATGTTGAACAAGACCATTTTCTCTAACCACAATTATGATGTAGTGTGCTTTAACAATGTTCCCTTCTCAGAAGTGTAAGGAACAGCAGGAGGCAGAGACCAGCCCAGACCACCAGGCTTGTGTAATCCAGCATGGCGTGGAATTTACTGTGCCGGGTCCAGGCAGACAGAGGGTGGAAAGGCCTTCTGTAGGGAGCAAAAAGAAGCAGGGCTTTTTAAATAGGGCTTGAAAGAAAGCAAGGACATTAGGTGGGAAGCTCTTAGTAAACATCAGTGGTCAGGGTGATCAGAGTGATGAGAGTGGTCAGAGTCCTTGAGACATCTGGTATGAATGTTTGGGTGTCTTCAGAAGAACTTCTGTTTATTCATTTTGAAGCAGTTGGTGACATGTGGATTCACATTTCCTAGAGAAGCCAAGCCCACGTTAACTTTAGGAGGAAGGGGCAGAGCTGAGTCTCTGCTGGCAGCCTGGTACCACAGGTTGGCAGCAGGAGTGGGGACAAGCAGTGGAGCGTCTGTCAGAGAGCAGCAGGCAGGCGGGTGGCACCTGGGCCTGAGTTGGGGTTGGAGGTGGGGCTGGGGACCGGGGCTCTGGGTCCAGTGGGTCTACATGTAGGCCGGGAACCTCCCTCACAGCATAGCACAGAGGGGGATTTGTCCCTCTGGTGCGGTGTTCTCCCTACCCGAGGACACCAGTCTTCCCACAGGACCCATGTGAAACCTCACCTTTTGGTTCCTCAGAGTCAACCACGCCATTTGCAAAGCCTACACGGAGAACACGAGGCTCTGGCTATGCTTGCTGAGCTTCCGGTGGCATGCCGGAAGTGGACCAGCCTCTGGCCAGGACGGCCTCACCTCAAACCTGGAGGCTCAGGTCCTCCAGGAGGAACTCCTGGAAAATCTGCCCTCCAGAAGGGCCGAGAATGCAAGGAGCTCCTGGTCCTTGTGGAACAGAGACACTTTGTGGCACCACACACACACACACACACACACACACACACACACACACAAGGTCCCCAGCTTCATTTGGGTGGTAGCTGCAGGGACAGCAGCATTCTCAGATGTCTCTCCTCTCGTGAGCGTGGGACAGGGGCCTAGTGACCTGCGCTCAGGAGTTATCTTCAGCATAACTCTTAAAACAATTTAAGATTGTCAAGTGCTTATGTTTTCTTGTTCTGTTTAAGAGAGATATCCGGTGTAAGCACCGTCAATGTATTTGCACTCCCTGGATGCCTTTATTGGCATGTGGTAATTGAACCTGATACCGTAAGGGTGTGTCAGAATGAATAACATCTACTGGGCTGTGCTTGCTAAGCAGTTTTGCTTACTCATGCAGTATAGATTTGTCATCAAGGTTCAAAAGCATTTGAAGGTACAGAGTGACCTTAAAACTGGCCGATTGAGATTCATAAGGGCATGCCTATTTTGGCAGTACTAGAGATTGAACTTAGGGCCTTCACCCTGAGCTATGACATTCCTAGTCCTTTTTATTTTACTTTTTGTTTAAGAGAGGGTTTCTCTGATTTTCTAAATTGCCCCAGCTGGGCTGAAACTTGCTACCCTCCTGCCTTAATCTACCAGGGTACTGGGATTACAGGAGCATGCCACCGTACCTGGCTTCACCTGCCAAGACCTATCCTTTATTTTCATGACTTGATAGGATGTGTCTTCTTAACCATAAAATTCAAGCTCTGTTATAGTAAATGAAACAAGAAAAACTTCCAAGGCCATTACTGCTCCTGCTTACTCTGATTTCTCTACTCCAGGAACAATACTACTGAAACAGTTATGGGCAAAATTATAACCCTGCTGACTGCCCTCAGCACCTCCCACTTGCACGTGTTGTATTCTTTTTTTTTTTGGTACCGGAACTCAAACTCAGGACCCTGTGCTTGCCAGGAAGGCGCTTGTGCCACTGAGCTATATCCCCGGCCCACACGTGCTGTATTCTGATGAGGTTTTCCTACTCACCAGTCTTGCATAGTTTGAGCTCAGATAATATTATAAAATTACCTTTGGAAACTCTTGGTAAATACTACTACCATCCTCATCTTGGATCTCGAAAAGCACTAGGTCCTCCTAGGAAACAAAAAGAGACTCATTCAGAGTCTCTGTAAGAGCAGACAAAGCCAGACAGTTTCTCTCACCAGACTCAGGAAGTTTACCTAAGGACACAGCTGTGGAGTGCTTACCGGAAACACTAATGATAACCCTCCTCCCAGATCAGGCAAGCATCTCAAGGTTGTTCTTGTATCAACTTTGATAAGTTTAATATCTTAAAGGAATGATCACTTCCAACTCTACATGTCACTGCTGTGAAAACAGAAAAAAGCAATTTATCCACTCGATCATATTTAAATAACATCTACAATGTACAACACAGAGGAAGGCCCTGAGAGGAATACAGCGTAATGTAAGACAAGATCCTCGCTCTCAAAGAACACTCATTTCAGTCAGGAGATGATGCGGGTTTCTCAACAACGACTGCCTTAAGTTAGGATCATGGAGGAAATCTGTCAGTTCCTGTCATTGCCACTCACTTTCTTCTACATAGCCCAATCCTGATACCTAAAAGACAGCTTCAAGGGCGTGAGCTGTGTAATCACACAAGGTCCCCCTCACAGGCGGGGCTGTGCTTTGTTTAACCCTTTCCCGTTGCTATCTTGAAATTCTTAATAACTGTATCTGTGAACTTCTTTCTGGCATGTGAAGTTCAGTGGACCAGGGGAGCATACTTGTGAATGGTGTGAAGAGAATAACAGGGTCGCCTTCCACAGTCAGGGCAGGGATGGCGGTGGCCTGGCTGGTGATTACAGGCTGAAAAAGCCCTGGCTGTTTGTGGGCTCCAATTCCTTATCTCCCCCTCTCCCGCTCCCTCCATAGACTCTCTAAATCACCACCTCGCAACAGAAGTTAGGGTTTTACTGAGCTAGAAAAGGGTCAGAGAGAAAAGTGTTCTGTTTATCAAACGGGATCTCATTGGCACAATGGCTGAAAGAACAAACCCAAGCTACCTATTTATGCGTAGTCTCCCGGAAGGGTAGGACTTTGTATCTTCACAGCGGCGTTCTTGTTACGGGTATGCGACTCCAGTTGTACAACAGGTATAAGGGAAGGGTATTTTCAGGCTGTAGCCTTTAGGGGCCCAAAGTACTTGCTCCACCATTTAGAGAAAATACTGCACGTTGGGAGCCTGCAAGTCGAGCCCAGCTCATAAACAGGTATTATCTTCCTACAGCTTTTAAGAAATGTTTACTGGTAAACTTTATAGGTCAATTTGGCTAAGCTGTGGAGCTCAGTGTTCTGTTCAAACACTAACCTAAGTGTCGCTGCGAATATATTTTGTAGATGTGGTTGACGTCTACAATCTGTTCACTTGAAATAAATGATGTTATCCTCTGCGACATGGGTGGGCTTCACTGAACAGGGTGACTATCTTGACAGCAAAATCTGAAGTTGTCTGGAGCAGAATTCTGCCTACACTGTGATACAAAAATCTCACTCGCATTTCCACTTGCCGGCCTACCCTAAGAGGTTCAGATCTGCTGTGTGTCTCCTATGGGTTCTGGTTCTTCAGATGACACTGACTGCTGATACAGCTACCAAAATTTAGACTCTTAGTGGGTGACCTCAATAGTCTTTCTCCCTTTAGTCTCTCTGCTGAAAGCCCCTGACATGAAGACTACATTTCCCAATTTGCTTTGCAGTTAGCCGAGGGCTAAAATCTGGCCAATAAGATGTAAGCAGAGGTGCTCTGTGGTACTTCCCTTGGAAGATGTACTTCCCTTGGAGATGTCTCCATTTTACAGACAGCGCGCCACCCTGCTGCCAGGGAGTTGGATATTAGAGCTCTTTCAGCTGTACTGGGTCAGGAAGCCTCATGGGCAAAAAATGACAGAGCACAAAACCGGAAGGAACCTGGATCCCGGATCTCTGTGGGGCTGCTGGATTAGTTCTAAACCACCTTTAATGAAGAAAACATTTCTAATTTATGCTAATATTGTTTGGGATTTTATGTTATATTAGTGGATAGAACCCTGGTTCGATACATTTGCCAACTTTTAAGTATTCGGACATTTTACAAAAAATTTCCAATTTCTGGCCTCTTCCTTGAAAATTCCTACTATCCGCTAGGTTGATGGGTCGTGCTCCCCATCATAGCAGGTGACTGACTAGAACAGGATAATGACTGCTCAATTCAGACTAGGCTGGAGTCTTCCAGGTTTATTTCCTTCCTTCAAGTTCCTGGAGGTTAAAAATAAAATGATATTCTAAAAAGAGAAAGCAGTTGGGGCTGGGGATTTAGCTCAGCGGCACAGCGCCTGCCTGGCAAGCGCAAGGTCGTGAGTTCAGTTCCAGGTACCAGAAAAAAAACAAAAAACAATAAAAAAATAAAAATAAATAAAAATAGAAAGCAGCAAGTACAAAGGTCCTGAGTTAGAAACAAGCTTGGCTGGGCATGGCACATGAGGCAGAGGAAGCCAAGAGATGAGGTCACACAGGCAGACAGGAATGAAATACAACTTGCGTTTAGAGAGACTTAGGACTTATTCTAAGTGCAGTTAGAAACCCTTAAAGAGTTTTAAACAGATGAATACAATTAATTTTGAAAGCTTATTCTGGCCACTGGTCAGATTATAGATTAGCAAGAGCAGAAATGGGGACACGTGTTAGTAAGCGATTTAACAGTGCGGGTCGGAAAGGACACCCGGCTTGACAAGGCAGTAACAGCGGAGACAGGAGTGAGCAGACTCAGGATCTGTTTTAGAGGCAGAAGCAAGCCTTGCTGGTGGATTGGATGTGGAGTTCGGGGAACTGTAGGAATCCAACAGGATGAATGCTTGTTCCCTCTCCAAGATGGGCACCCTGAAAGGAGAACAGGGCTTTCTCAGGAGAACTGCTCTGCCCGTGCTTGCTGTGAAATGCTTGGGGAACACCCAGAAAGACATGACAAGCAAATAGGTGGGTGAATGGGGCATTTTAAATTTTCAACCTGCTTTCCTAGGTAGGAAATTCCATGAATTAGCGCAGAACTGCCTTTACTAAAGGAAACACTTCGAGTCTATGCTACCCTTCTTGGATTTCCCCTGGACCAGCTGAGTTTTCCCCTGTGGCCCAGACCCCCTCATTTCAAGGGGCTTTGCATGCCTACGGGAAACCCGGTGCTTCATTTCACACACTAGATGTGCTTTAAAGAGTTAAATAGGTCGAAAAGGCTGCAAATTGCTGTTTGTCCTTAACTTACTTTACTTTGCGAAGTTCCTTGCTTTAATTTTGAATGATCTTCTGCTGACAGTGTGAAGACTTTGACTTCCGCTTTTGTCTCTTTGTACCGTTCCTGCCTGCTTGGTGTCTTCTCTAACCAGCCTTTACTCCACAGGCTGTTTAAAGGGGAAAACAAAATAAAACTTTAATTCGCCCTTTGATGATTCCTTTGATGATTCCGGGGATACAGGGGATGGAGTCCTGGAGAACTCGGGAAGCAGGGTGCCTTTCCCCTGGTTTTGAAAAGTTGAGGATAAGAACAAACAGTAAGATAAGCTTCCAGGATGGAAGCGCTGGCTTTAGGTCTGGTAGCCAGGCAACCCTGGCTAGCGTTGACATCCAGATTGAAGAGCTATTGTTACGCAAGAGCAGGCAGCCCGGGCCTGGGACAGGCCCCCAGGGAAGGCAGCAGGTAATAGCTCTCCCTGCAGGCTGCATCACTCAAGAAGAGGAAGGTAGCAAAGGTAATTCCAGTGTGTCCAGTTATCTTGGCCAGAGTTAGTCTGTGTCATCAGAGGTGGGAAGGTGGACGCACTGAGGGAGACCTGGGAATAGTTCTTCTCATAGAGACCCGGAGTAGTGAGTGAGAGGGCATTCTCCACCAGGTAAGGAAAACGTTCATCATGAACTAATTGCCTGGTTCTGTGTGTTTGAATTTCATAAATTAGATCCTCAGTAAGTAGGGCACCATTAAGTTCAACAAAAAGAAACCAAGCACAATTCTGCCACTTACTAGCTGTATGATTTGGGGAAAATGTCTTGACGAAGTCTCAAATTTCTCATTTGTAAAATTGGGAATAATACAACTTACCTTGTAAGATAATTCATGTACCATAATATACTATTCTGCCTAGGTCCGAATAAACACTTGATGAAGGTTTAATACTACTGCAGTAACAATTACCAAAACTGTGTTAGATAATCTGCGAGGTGCTAGGATTTTTTTTTGTCTTTTTGAAACAGGGTCTCACTGTGCAGTTCAGGCTGGGCTTGAGCTCACTTTGTAGCCCAGGCTGACCTCAAACTCACAATGATCCTCCTGCCTCAGCCTCCTGAGTGCTGGGATAAGGCATGTGTGCCACCAGGCCCTGCACCCTGGGAATTTAAAGACAAAAGGCCTAATCTTACCATCTAGAAGCCCTAAGGCCAAGTAAGCAGGTATGCTATAGTTTGGATCTTAAGTGTTCCCCAAAGCTCCTGTGTTAAAGCCTTGGTCCCCAGCTTAGCACTATTGGGGGGTGATAGAAATGTAATAGCTCGAGCTTAACAGGTGGTCTTCTGGTGTGTAGGCACATGCAGTCAAAGGGGATGGTGGAATCCCAGACCTTTCCTTTTACTCTTTTTTACTCTCCAGCCATGGGTTGGGCAACTTTGCTATACCATATGCTGCCCACCTGTGTGTTCTGCTTTCTGCTACAGTTCCAAAAGCAACAGGGCCAACTGACAATGGACTGAAACCTCCAAAATTGTGAGCATCCATTTAGACAATCGACCTTTTGTCTAAATTGATTAACTCAGATATTTGTTACAGTAACAGAAAGCTGGCTAACGCCAAGGTAGGAATAAAATATATTAAACTAGGTTTAGGGTATGGCTCAGTGGTAGTGCATGTGCTTCTTTTTTCTTTTCTTTTTTCTTTTTTTTTTTTTTTGTCTTCTTGAGACAGGGTCTCACTGTGCAGTTCAGGCTGGCCTTGAGCTCACTTTGTAGCTCAGGCTGGCCTCAAACTCCCAACAATCCTCCTGCCTCAGCCTCCCGAGTGCTGGGATAACAGGCATGGGTGCTACCTTGCCCGGTTCCCTGAGCATGTGCTTTATATGCACAAGGTCCTGGGTTTGCTCTCCAACACTAAGACAAATAAACACATAAACAGAGAGTACGATGCATGTGCAGTGGAGCTTATAGCCGCAAGAGACCTACTAGTGATTACATTTTCCTCTGCGTTGGCTGGCATCAAAAAGCAAACAGCCTTGGAATTACTGACCTTTCTACACCCTTTTGCATAGATTAAGTAACTTCAATTGTTCTTCAGGAAAGACAAAGAGAAAACTATATGTAAGTAGCTTTTTTTTTTTTTTAAAGGGCTTTAGTCACCGGGGCAGAACAGAGGATAATGGCTCTAAGTTCTTCAGGTGATAAAAGCTAGAACCATTCTTGACCTAGCACTACCGAGAATAGACCCAAGAGGTAGCTAGCTCTGCGTGGAAATAGAAAGAACTAGTCATTTTGAAATCTCAGGCTCTCTTGCCGAGCCTGAGGGCTCTGGGATCAGGGAGCAGCTGAAGCAGGCAGGAAAAATACCGGTGCGGCCCAGATTTGACTGTATGCTGACCCAGCTGTCCTTTACTTATGGGCGATAAAGCTTTCCCTTTGTTTTCTTTACATCTTCTACTAAACAGCTTAGCTGCCTTGTCCCTGAGCGAATTCCCACTCAGTAGCCAGCGCCTCAGCATTGTGCTGCCATAGCCCATGAGTCCTCACGGCTAGAATTTGGCCAGGGCCCTTCCTGTAAGACAGTTCTGGAGCATGGGCTGCTAATCCCAGAAAATAAGCCAGACACCTCCTGGAATCCCAGGTCACGTGCCTAGTTTTGCCATAGCTGCCCTTCTGTCTCAGTCTTTAGCTAGAGCCACTCCTTTTGATATAGATTATATGAGAAATGTAACTTCCAACCTGTTAGGTGTCCCATACGCTGAGTACATGTCCCCCCAAATCAAAGAATGAATTCTGAGGAACAACAGAGGTTAAAGTAGGACATTGTATTGAGAGAGTGTAGTGGATTAACTAATGATCAACTTGTAACACCAGCTCAACCGAGTCAGCGTGGTGCGGGGTGTGGAAGGCCCCCCGGGGACTGCTGCTAACAGCATAAAAGTTGAATTGGAGGGAAGATGGTGCTGTTGATTCTCCTGAGGAAGCTTGTCCCGCTGGTTTTCCTGATACAAACTCAGCTTGTCACACTGGTTTTTCTGATAGGAACTCAGCTGTTCTCATCATCAGAGGTGCTCGGGTCCTTGCTGTTGCTGAGGATGGCTTCTCTTCAGGGGAGCTCTGGTCCTTACCTTGTGTTGCTTCCTGGCTCTAGTGCAGGCGCAGCCTGCTGGCGCAGATCCTTTACCCCATTGCTGTGGACTTTCCAGCTTCCACCGCTGACCTTTGGGCCTTCCAGTGCAGATCTTTGATAAAGATTTGCCGGACACATTGTCCTGGGGTCTAGACCTCCAGTTGGATTTGTGGAGGACATTGCTGTGGAATCCAGGTCTTCAACTGGATTCTTTAGGTCTCTAGTATGTGCACAGATCTCCTGCATTTTTCTGCATTTGACTTTTTGGCTATTATAAAATAATCCTATAATTTTTTTTTTTTTTTTTTCTGGTACTGGGTCTGGTACCGGGAATTGAATTCACGACGCTGTGCTTGCCAGGCAGGCACTGTGCCGCTGAGCTAAATCCCCACCCCCCAATCCTATAAATTATGTGCTCTGTATTAATCTGTTTCTCTTGCAAACTGACTACAACAGAGAGACAGAGCCTGAGAAGGACAGGACATGACCCAAGCGTGTTGCCGTGGACCCCACTCACAGAGGAAATTTTATAGAGCAAAATCACAAGGTGGGTACAACGTGGGCTAAAGCTATGACCAATCAATAAGTTTGTAAGTATAGCCGCTTAGGTAATATTGATCCAATGGGGAAGCAGGTCATGTAGCCAGAGTACACGGAAAGAACAACTTCTCAGGAAAGGATGTGTCCAGGGGTCTTGGTTACCCACTGAGGTGACTATTGTGTACCTAGACTTTATTGGATCCGCTGTTACCATTTATCTTATCCTTGGGAAAGCATGTAGGCCTGGTCATTCTGTCTTTATCTTGAGGCCTGGCCTCTAACCGATGTGGCTCCGGCCACAGTTGTAATGTGCTTTCATATTCTCTCGAGGGCCTAGCCCTGCCTGACTGCTTATAATATTTTTACCTAACTTAGCTGTCTATAATTCCTTCAGGTCAATCATAAGCAAGGCAAACGCTGTATGCATAAAGGGAAGGCTAACCGTCCGACTTCCGGCTGTTCTGTGATTAGAGCACTATGAGGGCTCACACGCTGGCATTTGCAGGGTGAACTGGGAAGCACACTAGTTGCCCCAATGCTGTAGGAGGCACCGTGGTTACTTACCCAATATCAGAGGCGCGCTTTCGCTGCAGCTTGAAGGAAGGAGCGAAGCATTCTGTAAGAGGAGGTGTTGGAGAGAGGGTTCCTTAACAGGTAGGAAGGGAATTACCGACAGGAAGAATGACCTGCACAGCTTTGCCAACCGCGACACAGCACGGCGTTTCAGTGAACCGAAAGTAGGTGTGCCCACTCTACCTCAGGCTGTGCTAGTGGGTTAATTTCTGGTTCTCCTTAGCTTTTTATGCTATAGTGGCTAAGTCTTTCTTTCTTCCTTCTTCCTTCCCTCTTTCTTTGTTTCTCTTTCTCTCCCCCTTCCACCCCCCTCTCTCTTTCTTTCTATTTGAGACAAGGTCTATGTAGTTCAGACTGGCCTTGAACTACGTAGCCTAGGCTGACCTCAAACAGAGATCCTCCTGCCTCAGCCTCCTGAGTGTTGGGATTACAGGAGTACGCCACCATGCCTTGCCAGTTTTTTTTTTTTAATAAGGTGTAAACATATTCTCCAGCCCAACCGACCATCTTCTCCTGAGTTCTAACCTTCCCTCCTACTTAATGTCAAAGCTAAGCATTTTTAAAAAAGTCAAGCCAAGGTGCAGCACAAGTCCAGGACACCCACACGGAAAGGCATTCCAGGACAGGGGGGCTGTTGAGCCGTGTTTGGTGTTTACAGGGAAACGGTACTGTACCAGGTCTGAAACATTTCCCTGTTAGTTTCGAACCCGAGTCCGGGGCGTTTTTGGGGCCCGCGCTTGGGCCGAGCGCGGTCTTCGCAGTGGTCGCGGCGCCGAGGTCGGGGAGGGGGTTCGGGGCCGGGGCGCGGCAGTTCCCGCCGCAAGCCACGTAGCCGGCGGCGCGGGAACCCTGACCCTCAGAGATGCGAAGGGCAGGAAAGACCCGGCGGGGCTCAGGGCCGAGGGGCCGCGGGACGCACGCGGACGCCCCGCACAGAGGGGGCCCGCGCGGCCGAGGGACGCAGGGAGGGGCCGCACGACGCCTACCTGCCGGAGCGCCCAGCCCGGTGGGCGGAGCGCGCGCCACACCTCAACCTGCCGAAGACGTCACGACGCCGGGCGGGACGCCGGCCAATGGGAGGCGGCGCGGGGCA